AATTATTAATAAATCCATATGAAACAGTCCCTTAAAAGTCACGTCTCGCTTTCAGTTTCGGGCTTTGGCGCGTTTTGCACTCACACACAAGCGTACCGCGCCAAAGCCCAAGTGAACCGAGCTCAGGCACACCTCTTCCAACCGGGCCAGGGCCGGCCAAGTGAACCGTGCTTGAGCCCGATTCAGCGCACTCACACTTCTCAAACGATCCGGGAAACGGGCCTGGGCACGGTACGGATGGCATAGTGTGAGTGGGCCCTAAGGCCCAATCCCAATTCCACACCTTTGCCCTTTCCCTTACCCAATTCTCTTTAAAGTGAAGGTGTAGGGTTAAGGGGAAGGGCTAGACAGCTCTCGAAACAAAGATTTTTCAGGACCACCAAGGGGAACGAAAATTACAAAAGCAGCATGGCTACACACCGAAGTCATGGGATGCACATATTAGTATTTGTTTGTCATTATTACGAAGTTTTAAAACAAACAAGGATATGTTTTAATACATTTATTATGGCGTTCATGTTTTACGGTCATGCGTTTAAAAAACGATAAAAAACCCTGCTAAATTTGCCTTTCTATAATCCCTAATAATAATTTTTGTATCGTAGTCCCACAACATTCAGTCGCGATTGTCGATCCCATATAAAGTAAGAGCTCGCAATGACACATAATGACCTGTGTGGGTGTTGTAGTGGTGTCGCATTTCTTGGGGATAAATGTTGAACCACACAAATATAATTGGGAGTGGGCCTAATGTTTGCAGCAACACAGTTGTTTAGTCTGAATTAGAATTAAATAAATCAGAAAATATATGTTTTACCTCTTTATTTTAATATCGATAAATAAATGATTTTTCAATCCATTTTTCAGGAGCAATATTGTATTGTGAGAAATATCGTTATTGAATATTTTTCGAGTATCATGCAACACTAATTACAACTTTCCAAGCATGTCAGCCCTCGAAATATTGATGTGTTCTTGTTTTTGCTTCTGAAAACTAAACATTGTAACTACAGATGAAATTAAAGGTGCAGATAAAGTACAAAAAGTAACCGCACATTCCGCTAAAGCAAAAACTCAAGATACAATCATTTAACTACCTCATACACAACTATATTTTAGTATACACAACTAGTAGTATACACAAGTTACTTCTACAACGTATACTAAAACACAGATGATTTCATGGGGTCTTTAAAAGCATCAATGAACAGAAAACACAGAAATGAGTGAAATGCTGGTACAACTGACCAGAGAGGAAGAGCTCTGTTTCAAAAGCTGCTGAGCTGCCTTGTTGACTACTGCCTACATAGTCAGCTGCCTTCTGAGGCACCTCACAAATGACAAAACTTATATTACTCTTAGCTGTGATAGTATTTAACACTCAACTAGTAATGAAACAAATACTTTGATTTTTGTCATCAGTACAAACATTACTTCTAATTAAACAATACTGTACTTTTGAAACGTAGAATAATAATAATAATAAATCCTTACATTTTTTAGCACTTTTCTGGACACACAAAGCCCTTTACACATTTTGTGTGAGGAATCTCCTCAACCACCAGTGTGCAGCATCAACCTGGATGACGAGACGGCAGCCATATTGTGCCAGACTGCACACCACACACCAGCTGATTGGTGGAGAGGAGACAGAGTGATGAAGCCAATTATGATGGTTAGGAGGTCATGATGCACAGAGGCCAGTGGGAAAATTTGGCCAGGGTTAAACCCCTACTCTCTTTAGGACATCCTGTGATTTTAAACAACCTGAAAGAAAGAGCTCACTGAGCAGTATAGAGTCTCCATCAATATACTGGGGCGTTAGGACCCACACAGACTGCAGGTTGAGCGCCCTCTGCTGGCTTCACTACCACCTCTTCCGTCAGCAACCTAGCTTTCCCATGTGGTCTCCCATCCAGGTACTGACCTGGCACAGCCCTGCTTAGCTTCAGTGGGCGACCATGTGAGAGTTGCAGAGAGATAGCTGCTGGCCATATACACCATTACAACTTACACCATAAACCATTGCGCATTAGACGCCATCGCAAACTCTCACAGTGCATCATGGGGGTTTTCTAGCTGTTGAGCTTTAGAGTGTTATAGCTGTGCATTGTGGGATAGATTGAGTGCACTTCATAACATTCACTATGGTTTCGGATACCACTAGAAATGGCTGCTTACTCAAACAGTGAACTATTTGAGGGTATAGGGACAATTTTGGACACATTACATTACTTTGCACTTCAGATATTGCTGCTAACTATTGCAGAAGTATGCAATAAAATACTTTCTATGGGGCCGATCACACTGAATGCACTTTTTTGTTGACAAGACAAAAGAAGTGCAATGTGCTTCTTATGTTGCTAAGCAACCATTGAATCAAAGACTGGAAATTTAAAACAGTGACCACTAGTCTCTCCTCCATTTTTAACCAGTTAAACTCTGCTGTTATTTTGGGATTTCCACCTGGATTTTGCCTACCCAAATTTAAAAGCTTCCCAAATCCACATGCAGAGGTGTAAATGCAAAAATTTGGTATCATTTTAAAGAAAACCCTTTGAATTTTTATAAAACAGTACTGGAAGAGTTTAAAATATCGGTATATGTTGTCTGTGTTATAATAAACACCTAACAAAAGAGGCGCTTTTTGTATTTTTTTTATAAACTCAAATTTGAAAGTGTATCTTTTAGGTTCTGTGTGGTCTAGGGTGCTGTAATTAATTTAGGTGGTTCCTGCACATGTCTGTAATCATAGGACAAAAGAAAAATGTCTCTACCGTAATCTATGCAAAAGTTATTGTATTCCAACTGATGAGAGATGCTATACAAGCCACAGGGATCGATCATTGTTTTCATATTTCACTATTCTTTTGTTTGATCAAACATAAATCACTGTGTTTGGACCACGTCAGACATATAAAAGGATTACTTATATACATCACCTTAAAAACAGAGGAGAAATGGCCCTGAAGCGCACAGCATAAGGAGAGAGTCGACAGCTGTCTGTGCTATCTGGGGCTGCTTAGTGATCATAAATGTATTGTTTTCACTTCTGTGTCATGGAAACACCGCGATTCATTCGGCAAATGTTTGATATGTGAATATAATTCAGTAAAAAGAATTCTAGAACCGTATGAGCACCGGCAAGAGCTTTCATTTGAGCTATAACTTGCACATGTGTCATATGAAAAATATGAAAATGAACCAATGTAAATTACCCAGCTCGGGTATCCAAAATACTGTGTATTTAAGTGTAAATAACTTTTGTACAGTAGAATAAAAACCGAAGTGATGCATGCGTGTATAAAATATAGATTCTACACTTTCAAACGAAACCACTTAGGAGGGTCTGATGCAATGCTAGCCCTTTAAATCTTAAAGCGAAAGTCGATGATGTCTGGAGTTTAACTGGTTTAAAGTCTCTATAGTTGTCATCACAGCACAAACACTGCTGTATCCTCAGCTTTTTCTGATGTAGTGTGCTTTTTCCGCTCAGAGTTGCCTTTTTTTCAAATGCAGGCGCACAGAGCACAACGATAAAAACAGGCGTACAGCAGACAGTTAACACTCATAAGAAAACCATTAAAAATGTGCCTGTCATTGCATAAAGCGACTTCGGTGTGATCGGGCCCAAGCAGGCAGTTCACATTGTTTGAAACAGAGCTAACAATGATCAAAACTGAAGAAACCAAACAATTGTGTAATTTGGCCCGTCAGCATCTGGTCAGTGTTATTACAAGACGATAAACAGACATTTAGTGTTTTTGAAGCTGAAGATTTTCCCTCCCGTTTTGAGTTTACATGAAAGAAGGGCAAGAAGACAGAGGCAAAAGTCTTCAAACAGATCAGTCTGAGTCTCCTCTGGGGTCATACCTCAAGTTTGGACTTCAACAGGCCTCCTTCACCATCCTCAGACTCAGAGGAGGGCACTTCTACAACTTTATCTGGGATCTCCAGCTCATTATCAACAAGCGATGAAGGTTGAGGAACGTCTTGAGGATCTTCATCTATGTTACTTTCAGGTTCTGGTTCTCTATCGGCTTCGTTTTCATCATCATCTGCTCTATTTTCTGACTTCTTCAAGACATCTGGGATGCTTTGAGAGTGGTGTGGATCACTGGGTGGCTCAGCATCGCTAGCCTCAATGCTAACCGTGTGATGGACACTTTCAGACAGCGAGTCCTCCAATCCTGACTCTCTCTGCTCCGGGATGGGCAAAAGCATGGCACTTCTGGCTCTGGCGATGGGTCGCACTATTGGATCTCCTTCATCCTCACTGGAATCTTCTTCATCTGCTTTTATTTCCACCTCTTTCGGTTCCTCTTGCTCTGAAAGGTCAGGTTCTTCCTTGTGCTCCAGTTCTCCGAATCTCTCCTTCAGTTCTGCGGCTACGTTTTTGTATTGAGATTTGGTCTCCTTCTTTTCGTTCTCCACCCAGATTTTCTCATAGCGTTCCTCCCAGGGCATCTCATCCGTACTCTCCTCCTCTGTTGGAGGGTTTGATTGGAAACGCTCCAGTGTTTCATGGTTAGATGGGCTATTTATGTCTACAGAAGATGCTTGAAATGCTTCTTTTGCCTTTGTTTGCATAATTAGACAAAAGAATAGAATTAACAATGAAAAAGCAAACTAGTGTGGTTGACAAGGACATGTGTGTGTGTGTGTGTGTGTGTGACATTTAAGACTGCATCACTGTCACAAACACCATATTTAAGTTCAACACATGACAAATGAAGCATGTGGTGACACTGACAAACAATTCCACTGAGGAAATCACATCACTGATGAAGCCAGTTCTTTCAAGAATTAATTCAATAAAAAAATGCAGAGTTCTAAGGAAGGCATATTGATTTTAAGAAAAATATGCTAAAATACAAAAATATTAAAACCTAATTAAATGTTTTATCATGTAAAAATGTCTGTGACGATACGACAGATTTTAAAAAATAATAAATAAATATATAAATAGTTTGCAATTTACAATATTTAGATTTGCAATCCATCATCCTTTGAAAAAGTTATACCAAACAACAATATTAAAATGCAATAACATGGTGAATGTGAAAAATAAATGAGTGTTTAATTACTTTTTTCCTTGGTAACTACAGTGACTTTCTCCAAATTAAATATTAATTTTAGCTAGCTTAGTTAAAGGGGTGGCCCAGAGTGTATTTTTAAGGCTTGGATGTGTTTATAAGATGCAAAGCAATGTGTGCTCATGCTTCATTTGTACAAAATCACAGTCCTTTTTTTATATATCTTACTCTGATTATATACAGCTACTCTGCTAACACGAAAACTATTGCCATATTTCCTAGTTCCTCCGAAAACCTGCCTTCAAGAGGCTCTGATTGGTCAGCTAACATAATTTGCTGTGATTCGTGGATCATCTCCACGTCACCAGGAAAAGTGTCACAACTCTAATAATGCACTTTGTCATTGTGTAAATACTGTCAGACAGAGTAGCTGTTAGCCGCATCAGTTTGAGCCTGATTCAGACAGAAAATAAAAAGTACAAAGCTGAATCTCATGCCTGCTCTCTAAAATAACATCTGACAAGTGCCTTTCACATATATTTGGGTTATAAGCATGGGTAAGCAATAGGAAACGTTGACATATCTTTTGAGGGTTCATCATTTGAGATGTAGAACGCAGGGAAAGTGTCCGCATAGAGAGACAATGCAGCGCTGCTGATGTTTATGGCTGTTTACTGGTTTGATAGATAAATATGAATTTGTGGCTAAATTGTTAGAGGTGCCAAACAGTATTTCCTGTTGTTTACATCATCACTACAACATTACATTAACGCTATTATGCATGTTAAACATCAATTTTAACAAATAAAAACACTTACAGGTTATGGTTCACAATCCACAGCTTCTTCTATTATGGCTGGAGCTGCTCCTTTGAGGAGTTTTTAGCCAAATCTAGCACTGAACTGGGAGAGATTCTGGAGGCTGTCCTTTGTCAAATGCTAGAGCTATATATTTTATAATTCTCTGGAACATAATTAAAATTAAACTGTAAGCACTTCTCTCTTTATGTCGTGTCCTTTGAAAGCTCAAATACAGAATGAGCTCTGTGGAAATAGCAGTGTTTGGATGCTGTTTTAGCCTTCTCTGCTCTAACATTACAACGCCTCTGGCCATGTTCCTTCTGCTGCACGGAGTGTAGGCGTGTAACCTGAAGCATTTGTGATCTCACTAACCCGGATGTATTTTTTGTCGTCCCGAAACGTTCGCTGTAGGTTTTGCTGAGCTAACTCTGTAAAAACCAATGTCTCTCTTTGCATTAAACGTTGGGCATATTACATTTAGAGATGTTGTTTATGTTCACACATTTACATGACACATCAACTACAGTTTAAAATATGATATCGTAGTGGACCACCCCTTTAAATGTTTATTTTTCTAGGTTTTGCCACATTTCAGTCCACCTGAACATAACTTATGAGCAAATTAGCATATGGGGCTTGTTTAATAACCTCCAGAGCTTAACAAAAATGAGAATATACCAGGCAGGTATGATGCATAGTGAACGTGCAACTTTTTTGGTGACACCGTATGCAAACATTTTCATTAATTAACTGCTAAATTAATCTTATACTCTAAATCACAGGTGTCAAACTCAGTTCCAAAAGGGCCGCAGCTCTGCACAGTTTAGTTCCAACCCTGATTAAACACACCTGATCAAACTAATTGAGTCCTTCAGGCTTGTTTGAAACCTACAGGTAAGTGTGTTGGTGCAGGGTTGGAACTAAACTGTGCAGGGCTTCGGCCCTCCAGAAATTGAGTTTAACACCCCTGCTCTAAATGAATTTAAAAATAATATGTTTCCATGTTTGTTCGTCATATGAGGTTTCACCCACCTGATCTTCATGATCACTTGCGTCAGAACTGCTTTCACTCTTTGGGTCATCTTTGAGATCCTCTTGATGAACTGAAGCAAAATTAATATAAAATATAAAACCCAGTGAAAACATAATGAACACTTCATTTGTCTTCACACTGAAGAAATTTACCCGTGTCAGCAGCGACGTTTGGCAGTGAAAATGTTGTCTTGGCTGGACTGGAGTTGTCTGTATCCCAGTCCGATTCTATGCATCAATAAACCAAATTACTCAAACACCATTATATGCACTTATAAGGAATTCTTCCATCATTATAAAGCTTTCTAGCTTCACCTTCACTCTCCGGCTTGTGATTGGAGTCACTGTTGCGCAGTCGTGGCAGTGGCCGAGGCTTTGAGTTGAGAGATCGTGGACTAGGAAGAGGTGCTGTGTTCAATGCTGTAGGTGTATCTACTTCAGGACTGGCTTCCTCATGTTCCCTGCTGTCCATGTCCTGTTGCTGGTGTGCTATAGTGGAAGCTTCAAGGCTTTCAAAGACGGGTTCCTCTTCCAGCTTATGAACTGGAAGGTTTTTACTGGCCTTACTGGTTGTGCTGGCAGAGTCCCAGTCTGAAGCATCTTAGAAGTGAAGAAAACAAATGATAAACGAGATTTTCCAAAAGAGTTAGCTAGAGGAGATTTACTTTACCACCACCCCCACCATTATGGAGTGGAAGTATTTCCACCTACACCAAGGGTGTCCAAACTTGGTCCTGGAGGGCCGGTGTCCTGCAGATTTTAGCACCAACTTGTCTAAAAACACCTGCAAGGATGTTTCTAGAAAGCCTGGTAAGAGCTAGATTAGCTAGCCCAGGTGTGTCTGATTGGGGTTGGAACTAAACTTTGCAGGACACCGGCCCTCCAGGACCGAGTTTGGACATGCCTGACCTACACCAACTTTTTAGTCATTGCACAGTAGTTGAGAAATGACAGCAGACCCGTGTTTGGGAAAAAAGCTTAAGCTAAATGTAACATGACTAACCCAACTCTAGGCATGGCTATGAGTGCGTCTCAATCAGCTTAACCATTTTAAAGGCAGTTTCAATCACATAATTCTTCTAGAAATATTTTCTCCCTAAAAAGTGCCCTGATGAAACAGTATTGATGCTCACTGTTCCCTTAACCCAAGTTCTGAAGCACAAAACATGAATAAAAACTCACCAAACATAAATGACACAAAGAGATGGTCTGAAAAAACTGTTATTGATTTAAATTCAAGCATAAACAAACTTAAGTACAGACCAATCGCATGTTACGCATCGAATGTGCATTACTTTCTAATAATTCAACAAACTGGAGTAAATTATTTTGCGTATGCTACGATCTTCACACCTAAAGGCACTGTTGAGATGTTGTATTTCAGACATTTGTCAGGTTTTTGTCCTCAAACTGCTCCTGTGTGTAGGACTAGTCTCTCACACATTTCATCCAAAGCCTTCTGTTGTGTTTTGTTTTGATTTTTTTGGCAGTTGCTGGCCGTGAAATAATTAAAATCATTCAGCATAGTGATATGGAACTGTAATGGACCCTTTTCACAAGAGTTAAATGGTCATCATTAGCCCCTTTCACACAGTGATACCGGTAAATATCTGGAAAATTTCCGGAACGACTTTACCGGTATATTCAAAAAAGCGCTGTTCACACAGGTGAGGACGTTACGGAAATTTTCCGGAAAAGAGCATTCACACATCCATTCCAAAATACCGGTAAATTCTGACATCATTCACCACAAATGAGCTTTAAACGGCTGCGCTTGTATTTGTAAACATTTGACCAAATTACAAACTCTGTGAATGATCAATATTGTGAACAACTTTCGCAGGATCACTTTCGCATGTCGAGATGTTCATAATATGTGCGTGTGCTGGCGCTCACAGGCTGTTTCACAGGCACACGCAAAGCTTGAAGGTAAACAAACAACGGCTTATCATAAGCATCTCATCGATGATTATTTACACAGTTGGCATTAAGAAGAACATCTAAACGTGATCTGACTAACTTCTAGCAGCTAAATGTGTCTGGAAAAATATTCAAAGGCTTTTATCCTCACAAACCGCGCGGACGTAAATGCGTCTGACTGTTGTGATTGGCTAAAGCAGACGTCTCACGTCAGCACGTTCTAGACGTGCACGCGCTTATTATGGCAATCTTCCTTCTGCATTCACACAGCGCAGCATTCCGGCAAATTGCCGGTAATGTTACAACTTCTCTTTCCGGAAAATAGCCAGAACGAATTTACCGGTATTTTCAAAAAGGGCCTGTTCACACATACAACCTTTCCGGAAAATTGCCGGCAATTTTCCGGAAAGGTCTGTATGTGTGAAAGGGGCTAATATCTTTAATCATTGGAATTTTTTTATAATTATTTTTTTTCTTAATTATTTGTATGTATTTATGTAAGCATTATATTATCTTTGCGTCAAATTACAAAAAAAAAAAAACTAGTTACCGCTTATGCGAGGCATTTAAATGCAGCGTCTATGGACAGGACAGTAAACTTGGTGTTGTTTTCGCTTCTGGCTGCCGTTATCAGTTTCACACTATTTCTTTTCCTTTTTCTGAAAGTCTTAATAACACCATTGTGGAGTTTTTCTTTTATCATTTGAGCAAATAGGATGATAATACAATATTTGTCATACTTTCCCATTCTCTGCGCTCTAAGTTTATCAAACTACGACGACTTAAACCTGGAAATGTAAAAAGGGTCTATTGTGGTCAAAGTCTGTCTGAAACGACTTAAGCTGTGCGATTATCTGACAATAGACAGGTCATCAGCCAATCAGAATTCAGCATTCAACAGAGCTGTTGTATAAAACAGATTAAATGGCTGAAATGTTGCAGGTATATTTTCTGTTTTTATGTTATTTTAGTAATTTTATGAACTAATATGCACATGTATATGATTTATTTACAATACAGTTTGTAACGTAATATATTCTGTCTTGTATTTGCATAGTAAACCTTAAATAAAAGTTCAAAAGATATTCGTTTTTATTACATGTTTTAACTTTTTAGCTAATAAAGTCCCAAAATAGTTCCACAATAAATCCTCAGATTTTTTTTTTTTTTATCATGAAAGTTGAGCAGAAGTACCTTAAAATGCCTGCAGATTCGTTCTGGCATTAGTTTCTAACACTTACATTATGAGGACATCCCCAAGTCATCTTCAGCATCCTAATGTGTAGTAGTAAAAGTCCTAAATTTGTGTGCATGACATACTGATTCACAACCTCAGGAGCTGATTGAGATGCACCCCATATTAGCAAGCGTTAGCAAAACTATAAATGTCAAGTGAAGCTACACCAAGCACTAGCGCTTGAGCGTCTGACCTGGAGGCCGTTGATGATTTGCTTTAATGTAAAATGAGATAAAAACATCAGACATACAAAACATACACTGAGCGCAAGATGATATCAGAAATAAAAATTGAGAATGAAGCAAACACATCCAGATTACCTTCAAGATCATCAGCATCCCCCAAACCCAGCTCTTCCATCAGGTCTGCAATGAAACAGAGATGTTTAAATGCATGCAAGTTATAATATTGATGGATGGGTTTAAGAAAATGAAATGACCTGTTTTCTTATTAGCTTCTTTTGAATCCATCAGCTTACTAAGAACAGACACCGGCTCCCTTTTGATCACTTTAGCCTGTGAAAAAAAGAAGGAAATGTCTGCTGTGTGTAGTTTTACTGTAGTTGGTAACATATTGGAGACTGTAAGGGGCTGAATGTGTTCATATATGTTCATTTATTTATTTATTTAATATAATTAAATACAGACGCTACAGTAGGCTATTTCACGCTGTCATTGATCTGTAGTTATAATCAAATCCTGTTTATAGAAAAGTTAGTAATAAAAAAGTATTTATGTGTGTAAAGCGTCTGTTTTGTGAGAAGTGCTTTTCATATGATATGTGAGCGACCCGTACAGCTTTATTGTAGACATTTTCTCGAGCGAGAATGATGCGACTGAAACTTTGTCATACGCCCACCAAAAGAGTACCCTTTATAGTGGAAACGGAAGCCTGATAAAGGTGACCCGTACCGACCCAAACCATACCGTACTGTACAAGCAGGGCCGGAGCAAGCTGAACTGCCGCTCTAGGCAGAGGACGATCACGCCGCCCTCAACCCCAATGTGAAAACGAAAGTGACCAGTTATGAAAATGAAGTGAGGTGTCGTAGACCTCTTTTCCGGCGCTCTATGTGCGGATATAACTGAGGACACGCGGGTGCAGACGGAGGGAGGGAGGGAGGTGTCGCGGACTGGCGGACACTGCGCTCTTTATTCTGCCGCCCTATGCGCGGATATAACTGAGGACGCGCGGGTTTCGCGGACCTCAATTCTGCCACCCTATGCGTGGATATAACTGAGGACATGCGGGTGCTGATGGAGGTGACGCTGAAGCCGCCCTCTCTATTCTATCGCGAATATATCTGAGGACGCGGGGGAGGTGTCGCGGACATAACTGAGGACGCAGGTGGTAAGGGAGGTGTAGCAGACGCCACCCTCTCTATACTGCCGCCTAGGTCGCCTCTATGGACGCGCCGGCCCTGTGTACAAGTCAGTGGAAACTAGCCATTAGATATCTTAAAAGTGAACAATACTAATACTAACATCATTTATTCATTTTCTTTTCAGCTTAGTCCCTTATTTATCAGACGTCGCCACAGCGAAATCAACCACCAACTTATGCAGCATATGTTTTATGCACCAGATGCAATATGCTCAAAAAGTTGCCCTGTGTATCATCAGCATTATGCCTGTAATTTATACTATGACATTTAAAATTTAACTATGCTTACCCTTCATAATCTAATTATCATTGCATTGATTAAAAAAACTGCATTGCAAACATTGATCCTTCAGAATTGAAAAAACTGAAAAAAAGAAAGAAAAAAAAACACACACCTGGCTGTCTTGTATGTTTATTTTGTATTTGATCTGTATTAGTGATGGGTCGTTCATGAACGATTCGTTCATTTTGAACGAATCTTCAATATGACTCGGGAACTACGAGTCCTCTCAGGGAGTGATTCGCTCATCCGCGCGTGTGCACATTTGTGCAGGTAGTATCGTTAATTTCAAGTCATCACAATGGCAGAAGCCAGTCATATGCGTTTAGAGCCGGAAAAAGAAGTGATCCGCTCACCTCTCAAGTCCTCTATCGGGTTTGAGTCACTCGTTCATCATGGGCCAATCATATGCGTTTAGAGCCGGAAAACGTTTTGATCCGTTCATCTCTCGAGTCCTCTGTCGAGTCTGAGTCACTCGTTCATCACGGGCCAATTATACCCGTTTAGAGCCGGAAAAAGAATTGAACCGTTCATCTCTCGACTCCTCGAGTTTGAGTCATTCTGTCACGTAAACAACGAACGATCATGGCTCCTATTGGCTCAGACTGTGCATTGATTAAGATTATATGTGACTGTCAGTGTAACGTGAATGAACCCCTGACATTTGAAGACATGAAGAGCTGAGCTGAGCAAACAGACAACAATGCCTTCATAGACAAAAGAGCAGGTAAACACTGAATTATTATTTTCTCCTTCTTATATTCTAGTTATGACTTATTTATCATGCAATCAACCTTTTGGGCTAGTTGTAGATGTGTTTGGAAGCAATTCGTAACATTTTAATAATATTTTGGCAAATTGAACCAAATGAACGAAATGACTCGAAAAAAGATTTGTTCATCTTGATGAACGAGACTCAAAGATCCGAGTCAGTAAAATGATTCGAACTTCCCATCACTAATCTGTATCATGTAATTTGCATATCTCTTTGCATAATAATAATAATAATGTTTAAAATTTGCAATTTTTAAAATTAAACTTACTGGTATTTCTTTTTCTTCATCATCATCAGCAGCAGCAGCATCATCATCATCATCATCATCATCATTTTTTGCAACTGAAAGGAAAGAACACACAAAGCTTAAATCTATCCCCATCAAACATATATCTTTCCAAATGCTTACAATAACAATGGACATAGACAAGCATCCATCCAGCGAGTGCACAGACATGCACATGCAGCAATTGAGGTTTCCCATGATGCCTGTCAATCACACAGAAAATAGTTCTCGCTCCATTCAGTTACAAGGGTAATGGAAATAAACGATGAGCATCATGCCGTGTCATTTCACATGCCGTTAATGCACAGATGACAACAGACTCAATTCAAGATGGACAGAACGTTAATGTGACGCTGCAGGGGATTATGGGTGATGATTAATTCTGCAGGACAACAGTAATGAATGCCTACCCATCAGCCTGCAGCCTCCTGATTGGTTTAAACTTCTCAATAAATTAACGCCCCTCCCTCCTCTTACGAAGGAGGGAACGTATAAGAAGTCTATAAAGGAATTCAGTTGAGATTGTGAATTTATCGTCTGCAAACCTGCACGTTGTGTTTGTTAAGCAGAAGCAATGAAAAATGTCAATCTTCTCTGCATATATATTAAGCATGAAATGGTAGCAAAAGACAAAAGCTTGCTTTTCCACTTTAAAAAAAAACGGGTTTTTTTACATATAGAAAGACATTTTACATACCTTCAGTGTTCTCCTCACAAATACTGGACATGGATTTATGTGATTTGGAAGGAGTGTGAGAAGCATTGGCCTGCTTTTTCTGTGGACTCTCAGAACCCGACTGTGATAGGAAGAACAAACATCAACATAATTTAAACTTTTTTTTTTAAATAATTTTACTTTTTTTGTATGTGAAGCTGCTTTGACACAATCTACATTGTAAAAGCGCTATACAAATAAAAGTGAACTGAATTGAATAAACATGTATTTTTTTTTTTGTAAATATAAATTATCCTTACCTTTTCTAAACATTTATTTAAAATTATCATGTATTTTTTGACACTTTATAATTAATTGGTAAAAAGACTTTTATATGTAACCCTCCAGTCCTACTGCACCCAACCCAGTCTGAGTTGGGATCGAACCAGCGATTCTTTGCATGGGAGTCGGGTGCTCTAACAAGAAGGCTAAAGACCATGGCCTCTAGCATCTTTTGAGGTCAGAGGAGTGAGGTTTCCCCGCCTAACACTTCAATAGCTGACCTCCACTACACTCCATTACTCCGCTAAACCTCACTCCCATCCCGGACGAGCCCCCACTGGTAACCCACCAGTCCTACTGCACCCAACCAGCTCTGAGCTGGGATCGAACCAGCCATTCTTTGTATGGGAGTTGGTTGCTCTAACAAGGAGGCTAAAGACCTGGGCCTCTAGCACCTGTCGCTAGAGCAACTTTAGAGGTCAGAGGAGTGAGGTTTACCTGCACTTCGCTAGCTGGCCTCCGTTACATATATAAAACTGCAATTTGTTTATTCAATATTAATTAATTTAAATATTTTTAAATACCTTATCTTTTTTTACATTTCTATCTTAATGTAATAATATGAATTTAATAATATAACAAATAAATAAAAATATTTTAACAATACAATTGATTTAAAAAGTAAATATTTAAAATAGCTATGATAAAATGTGTTTACAACCCTTTATTCATTATTCAAACACTTTTTAAATATATATATTTTAAATAATTATAAAATATTACCATAATTAATATTTGTTTTTATTCCAAAATAAAACTACACTATCTTTAAAAGGGTAAAACAACCGGTGAAGAAAAACCTGATATAAGGTTAACATGATATGATGCTGTTGGTATGAACAGTATTACTCTATGGAGATTTCACCAAGTTTACATGGTTTAATAAGCTTTATGACTGACCTCTGAATCCCAGGGAGAATCATCATTTTCATCTTCCTTTTCAAGCCCTAACTCTGAAAGGAAATCTGTAGAAACATGCACATCTAGTCATAAAACATACAAGGCTAGTCAACTGAAACAAAGCTTTAAACCACAAAAAATGCAAATGCACCTCTGCTCATTTCTTTGCTAGAGCCATGATCTTGAGGATCACTAGCCTTTTTACATATTTCCTCCCTCTCAACCTCCTCTTCTTCATCCTCCTCTTCATCCTCATCCTCCGTTAGGACCTCTTCCTGTTAAGAAGATTGCAAATAAACATAAACACATTTTACACAAGACTCAGCAAAAGTTGTTGGTGTACTTCAGTAAGATATAGAAGAGACACGAAACATGTGGGATGAACAACAATAGATTTGTAATGCCTGCATCTTCACAATTTGGCTGCGTTCCACTCCGGTTTTAGACAGGCACTCGCGAACTTCCCTTGCCTTGTTCCATCAGGGAATCCCTGCCATTTTTTGTGAAGTTGGGGGCGCGGGGGTGGTTAACCTTTATTGGATAAAACAGTGTAGACCCTTGACAGGAAATCATAGTGAGCAGAGATAGGGGAAGGATCGGCAATGCAATGCGATTGTGACATCACAACAGTGTAGTTCCCAAATGCTCAAGGGTTTAGGGCAGAAGTGACCAAATTCGTTTCTGGAGGGCCAGTGTCATGCAGATTTCAGCTTTGACTTGCCTCAACACACCCGCACTGATGTTTCTAGAAGGCCTAGTAAAAGCTTGATTTGCTTGACCAAGTAATGTCTAATTGGGGTTGGAACTAAATTTTGCAGGACACCGGCCCACCAGGACACCTGGATTTGGACATTTCATTTATACTCATTTAGATGCAGCGAAGTAGAAAACACTTGTCTAATATAATCAAAGACATACATCTGAGGGAATGAGATGGAGGGAAGTTAGCAAGTGCAGTGCATATAAAACTGGATAGGAACACAACCCTAGTCTCCTAATCATGGCTAATCTAAAAACCACAACTACAAACCACAAGGTCTTATCCACATGCTACAGCTATTCTATCCATTGTCCTCTGAGTACCTGCAATGATGCTTGCTTTGAACATCTTTCTTCCATTACAGACTCATGCAATTCCTCAATTTCTTCCCCCTTACCATCCTCCTCTTCATCCGAATCAGAAGTGAGATCAACATCATCTATGACTGTGTAAGGGATATCTTCTTGAGGTGGAGCTTCTGCTTCAATCGCTCCAGCTGGATGCTTGTTTTCTAACTCTAGCAAGAGCTCCCTGTCAATTTGAGAATTAGGGCCTGAATGTTGAGATTCTGGTTTTGTAGATCTATTAATGTCTTGTGAGCCTTTTAACAACTTCTGTGATGGATGATGGATTGATGTTGAAGGTGATGGACTACAGTCTTGAGGACTTGGCGAGCGACTTGGGTTTACTGGACTCGTTGGAACTGAATGTTGACTGCCTTGGTTTGGGGATAATGATTCTTTTGGACTAGCATTTATTGGGGATTTTGGACTTGTTGAAACTGGGCTCATTGTAATTGAAGAGTGTTTTGAACTTGGATTTTGAGGGCATTTTGGACTTGTTGGAACTGTGCTCCTTGCATTTGAAGGTTTGGGGCTGCATGAAAGAGATCTCATAAGTACTGTTTGTTCTTGCTGTGTTGGACTTGATGTAGTTGAGCGCTTTGGGCTACTATTGGAGAGATTTGAAGTCTGTAGTTGGTTTGCAGCATCAGCACCTCTATCATCTTCCTCTAGCATAAATTCATCATCTGAGACATCAGAGACCTGATCTATTTCAGACACTTTGACTGAGCCACTTACAAAGTCATATTGCATTTGCTTTACTTGACTGTCTTCCCCTTGACTTACACTTTGGTCCTCGTCGCTTTGCCCAACAATCATGGACACTGGTATGGATTCACTGTCATCACTATGATCTGCTTCTTCATGTAAAGGACTCTGGGAAAGGTGCTCAACTGGTTCAAACAATGACTCATCTTCAACCAAAACCTCTTCTTGTTGGTCTTTTTCTGCACTTGGCATCTTCTGGTTTAATTCTTCATCTCCCACTTGCGTCCCATCGCTTTTGTCAGAGCCAGATTCCCAGGATACCTCCGGGCTGTCTGGTTCCTTCTGTCCAAGCAATGTCAGAAATAAGTTTAAAGGCTTCTTTGGTTGGGTTTCTTCTTCCACGTCAACATCATCCCAATCATCTTCATCTTCTGCTGCCTTTGACTTGGGTGAAGCTGAGGGAATATCTTGATTGCCGATGTGACAATCATCTGGTGGGTCTTCACATTTAAGAGTTGCTCCATGAAATTCCTCTACTTCTGAAGCCTTCTCTGTTCTCAACAGCTCCTCATCTGCATTCTCATCATCATCCTCCCAGTCATTATCGTCATCACTTTGCTTTTCATTCTTGCTCTCCACCGGATTCTTGTGTAATTTTCTATCCACACTCTGTCCAGAAGCTCGACTGTCCTCGTTGTCCTCCTCATCAGAGAATCTGGCCTCGACTCTGACAGCTGACACAAGACAGCCATCCTCTATACTGGGAATCCGTGGAATTGTTCCACCTAAGAGTGGCTTTCCAGAAATAATTTCTTTCACGTCCATTTCCTCTTGCTCTTGATCCATCCTGTCCTCCCTGACCTCCTGTTCGGATTGGTTGACACTTTCAGCAGCTTCCAATTGTTCTGCTTTTTGAGCCTCAGCCACATCTGGAGTTGTTATTAGAGGCAATTCAGGAATATCTGCTGTCTCACAAGCTGCTGCAGCTTCCTCTGCTTCATCTACTTCTTCGTCATCTTCATCACCATCCTCATCTTCTTCTTCATCATCATCTTCCTCTTCTTCATCATCCTCATCATCTTCTTCTTCTTCCTCCTCCTCCTCCTCTTCTTCACCATCCTCATCTTCTTCTTCATCATCATCCTCCTCTTCACCTTCTTCAGATTCATCTTCTGGACTTTCATTGCCCTCTGGTTTACTACCTGAAGGCAGCTCCGTTAACTCGCTCTGCCCCTCTGACATGGCAGTGTGTAATGGGTTGAATGAAAATAATAAACAAAGGTAACTGTTAGACAGCAAGACAAGGGTTTACCTTAAGGGTGCTGCTGAAGGGGGTGGAGCTCATCTGGGGTGGGTGGGGCAAAGAGGCGGTTTCTACAGGGGGTTGGAGGTAGGTACTGCTGGAGGGGAAGGGCCTGGACAGTGGTGGGCGTTTTTCACCCTTATCCTCACTGTCCGGTTCAGACTCGGATCCACTCCAGGATTTGTCTGCATCTCGATCTGCTATGACTACAGACAGAGACAGCATATCACAATATGCTCAATATGGCGGCTGTGGAAATGGAGTCTCGCCTTTTGCTTTTACTCTTTTACTTTTTTGCATTTGCCTTTACTTCTTGATTCCGGCCCTGTCGACACGAACATGGGTATTTTCAAAACTGGTTCGACCATTCGTCCACTCAATATCAGGTGACTGAAACCCAAAACTATCTAAAAAATTCTGGCCAGGGTACATTTTGTTTTTAAAGATTAACTGTTTTTGCCTCGTGGAATCAGTGAGCAAGCTGTTGTCTCATTTTTGATTGGCCAACTAATGCAGGGTTCACACCAAATTGCTTCACTGCATCACTCGCTTTAGTTTATTCTTGTAATGTTTTTCACCTCACAAAAATTTTACGCTTAAGCTGAATAATTTGAACTAGCATGGTAGACGCAATTGAGGCCAATTCCAAATGTTTACCCCGTTACTAATTTGCCTCTGTTCGCACATTCGCATTGACTTTGTATGTAACTTACTCGAGTGAATACCCAATTTTGCTTTTAGTGTGACGCTAGGGCATACCCTAAAACAGGGATCACCAAACTTGTTCCTGGAGGTCCGGTGTCCTGCAGATTTTAGCTCCAACCCTAATCAAACACACCTGAACAAGCTAATCAAGGTCTTACTAGGTATACTTAAAACACCTAGGCAGGTGTGTTGAGGCAAGTTGGAGCAAAACCCTGCAGGGCACCGGACCTCCAGGAACGAGATTTGCGATCTCTGCCCTAAACCATAGTTGTCAAAGTCAATTCCTGGAGGGCCACAGCTCTACACTAATGATACAAATAATTGAGGCGTTCAAAAGAATCTTGAACACCTTGATCAGTTGCATCAGCTGTGTTTGATTAGGGTTGGAGCAAAACTGTGCAGAGCAGCAGCCCTCCAGGAATTGACTTTGACACCTATGCCCCAAACAGTCTATCACAGCGTGCTTTTGCGTTATCAGGTAGACAGATTTCTTTTACAAAGATGCAAAAATACCCATGTACCATGACTTGGCCTAAGACAGGGTTGTCAAGCTCAGATCCTGTAGAGCCGCAGCCCTGCATAGTTTAGTTCCAACCCTGATGCAACACACATACCTACAGGTTTCAAACAAGCCTGAAGAACTCAATTAGTTTGATCAGGCATGTTTATTTAATGTTAAAATAGTGCAGAGCTGCGGCTCTCCAGGAACTCCATGAGTTTCACACCTGCGGCCTGAGACATTACCCTGTATGAATTCTCTAAAATTAAGCATGAATAAAACTATTTGTTAGCCTATTTTGAGCTTAAGCAATACAATTTTATACAATTTGGGTCAGATTTAAATGGTGGTTTTAAATATTTTACGTGTAGTATTTGCGTGCCCTATAGAAAGCACATTTCTTTTAAAAAGCTGCCAAGATGGCCGCAAGTTTCTTTAAACAGATTTTGCTACAGGGATGGGGCTTAAAATGACAGAACAACCACAGTACTTACTTCACAAAGCCTTTAGATTTACAACTTACCGTCTATCTTTTCCCTTTTCGAGGAGCTTATGAGCTTCTTTAAGTTCACTTTTTGTTTCTGTAAAGTGAAAAAACAATATTACAGTGTTTTAAATCAGTATAACATGTTATTAAGAATGGTTGCCACTGACAGCAGTTACCTTTGGGCTCAAATCTAACTCCTCATCTTCATCTGATGAAGGCCAGGAATCAGCAGCACCACTTTTCGATGCCCTACAAATGAACAACATTTAGAGCTTGATAAACTAATCACATGTATCTGCTATACCCTACTCCTGTCTGACGTCTCACCTGCTGATGGAGTCTGTGTGGGAATTATCCTCTGTATCTGAGAAGAGAAATGTAAATGACATTTCCAACTTTACTTAAGACAAAATAGACCCTCGCTGCTAAATAAAATCTATACTAGTATGAACATCTTGCAATTTACTAAGGACCTATTCACACCGATAAAGTATGTTTTTGTTCTTATCTCCTTGGTTCCCTCATATCTATTATTTAAACATTCATACATCTATGTACACTCATCGGCCAATTTATTAGGTACACCTGTCCAACTGCTCGTTAATGCAAAATTCTAATCAGCCAATCACATGGCAGCAGCACAATGCATTTAGGCATGTAGACATGGTCAAGACAATTTGCTGCAGTTCAAGCCGAGCATCAGAATGGGAAAGAAAGGTGATTTAAGTGGCTTTAAACGAGGCATGGTTGTTGGTGCCAGGTGAGTATTTCAGAAACTGATGATCTACTGGGATTTTCACGCACAACCATCTCTAGGGTTTACAGAGAATGGTCTGGAAATGAGAAAATATCCAGTGAGCGGCAGTTCTGTGGGCGCAAATGCCTTGTTGATGCCAGAGGTCAGAGGAGAATGGCCAGACTGGTTCCAGCTGATAAAAAGGCAACAGTAACTCAATGAACACAGTGAACCGATCTTCTAATGGCTACTTCCAGCAAGATAATGCACTAATAAAGCACGAATCATCTCAGACTGGTTTATTGAACATGACAATGAGTTCACTATACTCAGATGGCCTCCACAGCCACCAGATCTCAATCCAATAGAGAACCTTTGGGATGTGGTGGAACTGGAGATTCGCATCATGGATGTGCAGCCGACAAATCTGCAGCAAAAGCATGATGCTATCAGCACCCAAAATCTCTGAGGAATATTTCCAGTACGTTGTTGAATCTATGCAACGAAGGAATAAGGCAAATCAGAAGGCAAAAGGGAGCCCAACCAGGTACTAGTAAGATGTACCTAATAAAGTGGCCGCTATAGTTTTTGGTGTGAATAGGTTTTAACCTAGTATGCAAGTGTACAACACACAAAGTAGGACAGCTTCTATGATAAGACACAGCATGATTTACCATTCAGCATTGTGTTGTAAACTCTGAGATGGTAAAACATGTCTTGTCTGATCTACTGTAGGCACATGTTAGCAATACCTTTCCCTGCTGCTACGGAGCTGCTTCCTGCTGCTACAACAGATGAGTGTGGAGTAACAAATCAAAAACACTGCAGTCAGTGCTGCAGAAATACTGACGTACATAAACAGGAAACACACAAATCCTTCAATTATGCAAACCATCTTTATTATACCATCTTTATCCAGAGCGGGCCCTCCTAAAGGCAAACCAGCCCCGAGTCCGCCAGGGCTGCCGAGCGCGGATGTGCGTTTCTTTTTGTTGGCGGTAAAATGGGAGGGTGACTGGAGGGCTCTTTTCTTCGTCCCATGCTCGATGATCAAATGTGAACATCTGGAACACAATCACTGATATGAGCTCCGACAAGAAAATAAAACAGGGCTGTCTATTCTGAAAACATCTGCAGAGTTTGCATTATTTCAACAAAACATTGTCGATGCGGTGCTACAATGCATCATAATAAAGAGGATCTATTATGTTCCTTTATCCAAGATGTAAAAATAAGTCTCTGATGATGTCCCTAGACCACAATAATGTTTTATAACTCTCAAAAAAGGCTTTGATCCTAATTGTGGTGTTTTGGTGACTGTTGCTTTAAATTCAAATGAGATTGTGCTCTTTTCAAAAAAGGGCGGAGCTACAAATGCCTGTGTCAGGCAGCATAGTGGCAGATTCAAAGGCAAGACATCCTATGCTAATGAGGGAGAGATGGTCACTAGTGGGCGGGAATTCCCCCCTCTGATGACACGTACAAAGGGAGAATGTCAATCAAAGTGTTTCTGCAGTCTGTTTTTATCAAGTCTGATTATGAAAAAATTATATTAACATTCTGTAATCCCAGTTGTAAGGAAGCAGTGTGGGTTTACACCCCTTATGAATTTTTTGCATAACAGATCCCCTTTAAATAAGCACTAAATGCACTGTTAATACAACAACTCAATGTAAAATGGCGAGTTTGAACTATATGCAGACAAAAGAGAAAAGCCCTTACGCGTGGTGTCCATTCATGACGGCATAATCATCAGATGACCATCCCTTGTCATCTTTTACTGTAATGTCGGCGTCATACTGAAGGAGCAAACGCACCATGCTGATTTGTCCATTGCACGCTGCTATCATCAACGCAGACCTTAATAATGAACAAAACGTGTATTAATAATACTGTTAACAAGAACTAAAAATACAAAAATTATATGATAGTAATTGATTTTTTTATCCATTTTATTATAATATATATATATATATTATTTTATTAGTATTTTTTTATTTTAAAATAATTTTTATTATTATTATTTTATTTCTATAGGTGTATTTTATTTAGTTTGTTACAAAAAATACTACAAATTGTAAAAAAAAAAAAAAAACGCAACATGCAAAAAAGATTATTAATTATTTATGAATTGAATCTTTTTATCTAACACAAATTTAATATTTAAATCTAAATATTTGATTTTGTCATTATTTTGTATTATATATATATACACGTTTTATTTATATATACATATATATATATATGTGTATACACACACACACACACACATACACGATTATTTATACACATTGAGTAAACACACACATTATGTAAAAAACTTTTGCTTTGCATGTGATTAATCATTTGACAGCACTAAAATAAATATAAATAAAGGATGCCAAATAATAATTAGTCCATCCAGAATTTTTAGGGATTTTGTATTTATATCTGTAGCCTCAAATAATGACATTTTGTGATGACATTTCTTAAGATTAATGGCATTATTTGCTTCTCAGTTGTTTTTTGCTGTGAAAATACACAAAATCTTCGGACCATTGCACTAGCAAATCCTGGAGATACTGATTAATAAATACAGATATAAAAAAAACCAATGGTACTGACAGTAAAACAACAAATTAAGGGTGTAACAGATCACGGTTGAGCTGTGATTCATACAGATCCCAGCCCACAGTTCGGAACACACATGACCCATGGATTAATAATTTTTTTTACTGGTAGATAATCCTAAATTTGTAATGATCACAGAGAGATCACCTATCGTGTCATTCAAATCACATGTATGAAAGCATTTAGGCTTTCCTGTAAAATATAATAATAACGAAGGAAGTTGTAGTGGGTTATTCAGGATGTGGTGGGTTTCATTAAAGGTTTTTTCTGTCACTACTTGTTTAGCCTTTATTAATGCATCCAGTGTAAGCTGCACGATTAATCAATAAAAGATCGGGATCTCAACACCCACGCAACATAAAATATAAATGATGGTGATTTCTATTTGTTTATTAATCCTTCAAATCTGAAAATGCAAAAATCAAGAAAGAGATTCAGTCTTTAGTTTAGAAACAGTCAAATAACAAATAACACAGACGTACTAGAATAATGGTTATAGTTTAAATAAAAGCACTGATGTTTATGGTAAAGATTAAAATCACCATCATATGCATTTAACTTGATGCTCAAAAATAAAAGTTGTATGCAGCAATTACATTATTTAACCAATAGGTGGCGACAACAAGCCGTCAAAATAAGCCACTGAATAATTCTTCGAAAATGACACATCTAGAAATGAAACATGAAGTTTTATGAGTGAATAACTGAAGCATTTATTGAAAATGAGACTAAAATGAATATGGGTTGTAGAAATTATGTTTGATTTATACATGTAGCGTTATCAGCAACAGTAGTAACAGTGAATTTTTCACAGTACTGAATATTTAACCATTTACTTTTATTCAGCTGATCATTTATTCACATTATTTTTAATTAAACTATAGGCTATAAGTTCTGCTTTTTAGAACCAAAAGTGTCTTGCAGTGCTGTTGTTGTAATAAATGGAAAGCAAATTACATTAGTCTCCTCACATATTTGGTTGATCCGAAAATATGGTCCAATCCGTGACTAAAAAACCATAATGTGGTCTGAACTGTGAGATTTGTGATCTGTTCCACCACTACAAATAATGACTCTAAGACTTCTCCATGTATATCTGTTTAAACGCAGACAACAATGACGAGCAAATAACTCTGTTTCAGTGAACTGATCCATTAAAGTGCATCGCTCATACCGCTGCTCCTGGTTCTTGACATTAACATCCGCTCCCTCTTTCAGTAAAAGCTCCGTCATGTCTGCGTGGTTTTCCATCAAAGCCAGCATCAGTGGAGTGTTGCCATCCTGTCAATCAAACCCCAACATATGTAAAAAGTGTATTGCATTAACCATCTTTCCTTTCAACATGCAAGGCCATCATTTTCGGTTTATAAGTGCATCCTGCCATAAGCTATTTGATAAGTCTGAGATGTTGACCTCTGACTGAATTACCATATAGTGATTCAGTAGAGAAGTTTTGTATCTTTTGCAGGGCTGTTCAGTGTGGTTTAAACTAGGGATGTTACAATACTCTAATATTGAATTGTTTGGTACGTCCTCTACGGTTCAATACATATATGGATATTAATTTTTTTTCAGCTATGCATTAAAATAAAAAAATTGTATTTCCCCTATTCCTTTATTTACTTCTTGAACTGGCTCTGTGCATAATAAATATGTCCATCTGTACGACTTGATAAACATGCACACGGTTACGCCTTAAAATGTAAACACTGGGGATATTGACCTAAAACCAAACCGAACCATGAGAAGTCTGTGTTGTTGCACCCTAGTTAATACTGTAATAATCTAGAGACCTTATTTTGTGCGTCGATGTTGGCTGAGTGCTCCAGGAGCTGTAGTGCTACGGGTAAAGAAGGGATGCGGGCAGACAGGTGTAATGCTGTGTTTCCATTGATGTCCACCAGGTTTGGATCGGCCTCGTGTTCCAGGAGCAAAGAGACGGAGCGATCTTGTTCACACTGAACCGCCTGCGAGACACACACACACACATACATACACGCATGCATACATAAACATCACCAGTCAGCATGTGTTCATATTTACAGTGCTCAGCATAATTATTCCCCTTTTGAAAATGAATATTTTATCCATTTCTCACTAAATATAGCCAATCATTTTTGGTTTATTTAAAGAAAACAGTTTTATTAAACATTTACGTCCATTAAAACATGAGTTTGGTCACCTAAGATCTTAAGGAATAAAAAGATAATGCATTTAAATTAATTTTTTGGGGTTTCTCTTGATTTTTACTGTTTCTTTAAATCTTGTTTAATCTATTTTCTCAAACTATATTTGTGTGTAGTAACTTTTGGATTCTGTTCTTATGTTTTTTTTTTGTTAGATTCGTTGTAGTTTTGGCTTTGGTACCGACTAATCTAATGCATATCCACAAATATATTACTGTAAAGCATCCTACAGAAAATATTAATGTAAAAGAGAGATCTGTGATGGGTGTACTCATTTATGCTGCATGCGCACTGAATATGATTTTCATCATTTCATAAGGACAGTCTAAGTTTACCTTCATTAAGGCGGAGCGGTTCTGATTGTCACATAAGTTGAGCTTCACTTTGCTCTCCACCAAGTACTGTACCACGTCCGTGTGTCCACAGGCACAAGCGATATGCAGCGCAGTTCTGCAGGAAAAGAGACATTAATACTTTCATTAAGTGACAATATTTGAAATTAAATCACATCAAAAGTGAAAGTTTCAAAACAAATTTCAGTTAAACCAAAATGTTCCAGAGTTTCCACATAAAGGCAAGGCAAGTTTATTTATATAGCACATAAACAGGAATAAAAAAGTTTAGGACATAAAATGCAGACAATAAAAATGATTAAAAACAGATAAAAACAATTTAAAATGCGTTAAAATAGGTTATAAAAGAATGAAAAAGAAAACGAAAAAACATAATAGTGCAATCTGTCGGACGTAGCACAGTGCTCATACAGTAAAGGCACAGCTAAACATGAAAAAGCACAACAATTTTGTTAACAATGAGCACATAATTAGTATATTAAAATGACTTCTGAAGGAAAGTGTGACACTGAAGACAAATGTTTATGATATAATTAAAAAAAAACTATTGTGATAAAATTTCATATTGTTACTGGTTTAGTTATAAGTAGGGCCAGACGGAATCTGCGGACATTTTTTGCTATTTCTGTGCAGAATTTTGGTAAAAATCTGCAGATTTTTGTGGAATGATTTTGGGAGTATCATAACTAAAACCTTAAAATATTAAATAAAAAGTAATATTAATTAGATACACTTTATTTGGTAAACAAAGCAAATCTCTCATTTATCTACTAAAAGAGAGAAATTATTACTTTACAAACTTTATTGTAAATAAATCATTTAAATATTTTCACATTAGTCAATAATATTACTGAAATTAATTTAAAAACGGAATAAATTTAAATGTTCACACATTTACACAAGTGAATAAACAGAATCAAAGATGAGCCAAAAATCTGCGAGCGCAGATTCCGTGTGGGCCTAGTTATAAGTTAACATTATAGTTCAAAACACCCACTTCACACAATCGAAATATCCTGCATTTAAAAAAAAAATAGTAATAGTTAATAGTAAAAAATGTCACACGAAAAGAAAAATTATGTCTAGCTAATATGAATAAAGACTGAACATCCCATTTTGGTGTCCATATCAATTTTTTATTTATATTTTTTATTTTCTTAATCAAAAAATAAAAAGTGACTTGTAATCATAAAAAGCATGACCAGCTTTTAATGGTAAGCATTTTTTTAATTTTATTATTTACAATCACGCTTCATAAAAACTGAAACACAGTCTGCAGCAACACTTTGATTGACATTCTCCTTTTGTACGTGTCATCAGAATGGGAAAGCCCCGCCCATTAGTGACCATCTCTCCCTCATTAGCATAGGATGTTAAGTATGCCACACAGGCACCGCGCTCTTTTAAAAAGAACACAATCTTATTTGAATTTAAAGCGACAGTCACCAAAACGACCCAATTAGGATCAAAAGGGGCAGTGTCAAAGAGTTATAAAACATTATCTATGTAGTATTTTGAGCTGAAACTTCACATACACACTGTAGGGAAATAAAAGGCTTATTTTGCATCTTGTAAAAAGGGCATAATAAGTCCCCTTTAAAAAGTATTTAAATGATTCTTGTTTAAAATATGTAATACTGGATGGCAATGACTTAATGTAAATAATGTTATATGGATAGCAGCGAATAGGCTAAAACATTGTCTTTGAAGCAAGTTAAAAATAAAGCAACTACTGGCCAAATCCCTATTGTTGAACCCTTAAGCTTAAGAAGTTAAGAAGACACCTGGAGCCATAAACTTTCCATCACAAGATCTGATGGTTGGTTGGTAAAATTCTGATTTTTGATCACAATACAAACACAAGTAGACTTTAAAAACGCTTCAGCATACTGTAAAAAAATATAATTTAAATAATATTTTATTTTAATTAAATCAAATTAACCTTTTTAGTCATCTGAATTTACATTAATCAAACTGATCAAAAATATTAAGGTATAACTAGGCCCACACAGAATCTGTGCTCGCAGAATTCCGCAGATTTGTAGCCCATCATTGGTTCTGTTTAATCGCTTGTGTAAATGTGTGTAAAATCATATTTATTCAGTTTTTAAATTCATTTCAGTAATATTATTGACTGATATGAAATATTTATATGACTTATTATTAACAATGTAGTTTGTAAAGTAATGTTTCCTGTCTTTTAGTAGATATATTATATAAGAGACTTTACCAAATAATGTGGATCTAATTGGATTTGCATTGTAAACATTAAATGCAAGTTATAAAGGTATTACTTTTTATTTCATAAATTAAGGTTTTAGTTATGATGCTCCCAAAATCATTCCGCATAAATCCGCAGATTTTTACCAAAATTCAAAGCAGAAAGAGCAAAAAATGCCTGCAGATTCCGCCTGGCCTTAGGTATACCTGATTCACTTATTAAAATAAGTAAAAGCCACATAAAAAGATTTGGTGTCTTGACTTTTTTTTATTACAATTTTTACACTGTACATCCACCATTACCTGTTTTCCTTATCCAGCTGGTTTAAATCGTTCTTTTTGGCCAGCTGTCTGAGTTTGACCACATCTCCGCTGAACGCAGCCTTGTGGACCTTCCCGAGGTCTTTCTCCTTGACATCGTAGCTGGCCGACAGTACGCTCGCGGTCTCAGAGGCGCTCGGGGAGCCCTTCTTCTTCTTAAAGTTGAATATCTTCTTCATGGTCGCTGACGGCACATCTCCATCCGCAGACTGTCGTTCACCTGAGGCTCAGGTACTGATCGCCTCGCATGTCTCGCCCATTCTCTAAGAATAAATCCTGCAAAGAGGATTTGAGTTATTTAATAATGACAGAAGCACAGGTCAGTCTGTCGCGTGCACATTCAGCCTGCTGTCCTTGTGCTGCTTATGCTCGTTTAAATAGACTGCACAAATAAAAGCTATTTATTTTTGTATATTTATGATTAACTAGATTATCATTCATTTTCCTTCAGCTTAGTCCCTTTATTCATCAGGGGTCGCCACAGTTGAATGAACCGCCAACTTATTCGGCATATGTTTTACACAGTGGATGCCCTTCCAGCTCCAACCCAGTACTGGAAAACACCCATACACTCTTACATCTAATTAAGTTTATTTCAATCACCTATCTCCTCCATAAACCACCACCTTATCGTGGTGGAGGGGTGTGAGTGCCTGAGTGATCCTATAAGAGCTATGTTGTCAGGGGCTAATGCCCCTGGTAGGGTCTGCCAAGGATAGCAGGTCTTAGGTGACAGGACAGACAAAGTGCAGTTCAAAAACCCCTGATGAGTACAAGGACATCAAGGACTGTGACGTTGCCTGGTATTTTGCAGCTGGGGCCCCACCCTGGAGCCAGGCCTGGGGTTGGGGCTCGTATGCAAGCGCCTGGTGGCTAGATTTTTTCCCACGGAACCCAACTGGGCTTAGCCTAAAGGAGCGACCTGGGGCCATCCTCCTGCGGGAGCCGTTAGGACCGATGCATTGTGGGACGGGTGGTGGTCGAAGGTTAGGACGACCAGGCAATCTACGTTCCTACTCTCACCTATGGTCATGAACTTTGGGACAAGATCTCAGATACAAGTGGCCGAAATGAGTTTTCTTCGAAGGGTGGCAGGGCGCACTCTTATGGATAGGGTTAGGAGCTCTGACACCCGGGGGGAGCTCGGAGTAGAGCCGCTGCTGCTCCACATCGAGAGAAGTCAGCTGAGGTGGCTCAGGCATCTGTTTCGGATGCCTCCTGGACGCCTACCTAGGGAGGTGTTCCAGGCATGTCCAACCGGGAGGAGGTCTGGGGGAAGACCCAGGACACGCTGGAGAGACTATGTCTCTCGGCTGGCCTGGGAATGCCTCGAGATCCCCCCGGAGGAGCTGGAGGAAGTGTCTGGGGAGATGGAAGTCTGGGGTTCTCGCCTAAGACTGCTACCCCCACGACCCGGCCCCAGAAAAGCGGCAGAAAATGAATGAATGAATGAATTCCCCTATAGCGCATGTGTTTGGACTGTGGGTGGAAACCAGAGCACTCGGAGGAAACCCACGCCAACGCGGGGAGAACATGCAAACTCCACAGGGAAATGCCAACTGACCCAGCTAGGACTCGAACCAGCCACCTTCTTGCTGTGAGGCAACAGTGCTAAACAGTGGGCCACTGTGTCGCCTTAACTAGATATTAATCTAAAATATTTATTAAAGTATAAACTCAACATGTATCAACATATAAAAAGTGGTGATATCATGTCATTTTCAGGGTACTTATTCATAATGGTGTGTGCAAAGATACTGTAAAAACTGCATGACATAGCATGGTCCTTGAAATAAATATTTCAATCCCAACTGAAATAAATAATTTCAAATAAGTTTTTTAAAAAAAAGCAGAAAACGTCTAACCACAATGTCTGCAAACTAAAGTAACAAAAGTTATTTTATATGCAAAGAAAAAATTATTACATCCAAGTTTTAATGTTTAAAATCACTTTTTAAAAGTAATAAAATAATGATATATGATCATAATTCAGCATTACAGATATTTTAATGTTTAAATAAATGGGTGAAATCTAGTGGTTTATAGGATATAAACCTTTAAATTAACGTTATACAAAATATAAAGTTTTAAACTGATTTTGGGATGGACTGAGATCTCTAAAAGAAGGTGTTTTAATACTTCATCAATGACTGACAAGATGATATTTAATATTTGATATTTAAAGTAACGTTACAGTTACACTGAATGACATTTTAGTCGATGTCTTTTGTAAAACATGTAAAATAGTGATATTATTTAGCTGCGAAACATAAAACTAAGCAGAAAACATTACTAATGTACGAAATGAAAACATTTTAATGCTTATTTTTTTCCTTTGATGCTTGAAATCCAATTTTCGCCTTTGTCTCCTATACAGCGTATTACATAAGAGGTAAATGTGACAAATATAACACGAAAATACAACATTATTGTGTGTTAAGCAAAGCTCATAATCTCAATGCTCAGATCAATCACCTCAACACGTTAATCTGCAATGGTAGTTAAACAGAATAACATTACGAGCTTGCAAACTCACCTACATCGTGGTTTCGCTGCAGGGCGTCTATCACTGATGTTTTAAAAAAATAAATAAACATTAAATATGTTTAAATGATCTCCGTTATCGAGTATGACACATAAATGCTGCTCAAACGATTAGCCGTTTACGACGCTAGCAAGCTAGCTGCTTCTGTTACCATGGTAACAGCATGACGCTCATCCTGATCCTAATAATTCATTTTAAATTGAGTGCCAAATAAATAATAGTTGAGAAAACAGAACGGATTATTTAAATACATTTTAACGTGTTGAATGTATGTTTAATATCACAAATTCGACTACTCTACGAGCACGGAACTCGCTGTTTTTTCCTCTGCATTCACACGGAACGTCGGACACCAACACGTCACTAAGTAGGCGGAGCTTTAGGGTTTCCATCGTGCATTGGACGGTTTGAATCAATGACAGACATGCGTTTCCTCCAATAAGTACACAACTTGCTTTTTCCTCAAACCTGATTGGGTAAATCTGTCTTGACGGACAGCAGTACTGTCCAATCACACTCAAGGATTCACTGAAGCGACCGTTCGTAGCTTATTATTCGTCAAAGCAGAATTTAAAACTATTTAAACCGTTTTGAGCGGGTGCCTAGAAAACAAGAGGCAGCCTAGTCGAAGAGAGAAACTAGCTTCTAATGTTCAATTAGCGACTAATGTTTATAAACAAAATACAAGGAAGGATCGTAACTTCGGATCGTCGGATTGTTATTTTTGCAGCGCGATCGTGAATAAAGGCTAAAGAGGTAGATGTCGATTTAACGTTACGTTTTATTATGCTGCTTTTTACGTTAGCCAAGCTCGCTAACGTTATCGATTCTTGAAAAAGCCACATCTGTACTATAATCGCATGTTATGTTGAGTGTTTATGTTATTTTTAATGCTAAACCTTAGATTACAAAAGATGAAGAATAGTGTCCTTTGTTGTTGTAATATTCAATCTTTTTCATCTGCGTCTGTCTGTTTTGGGTTGATGTTGTTGAAATGTTGATTTTATTTATTCAATGAAACGTTAAAATAAGTTAAATGTGTTTATATTTGTTTATTTGGTCAAACTAAATGAACGAAGAAAACATCTCATGCTTTAACTATGAACGTGTGTTAAATATTGATTAGTATTAATCATTTGTAATTCTAAAATAACATCTAACGTTAATATCTGCCACTAAAATGATCTGAATTTTCATAAGAAACAGTCTAAATTGTTATTTTCTTTGTTGTTGCATGACAGATTGATTGTCTTGTCATTTTATGCAAAAGTAACGCATATAAGTAACGTATGCAAAAGTAACGCATATATCCATTATGTTTTTGTTGCTCGTTTCAACTCTACAACGGAAAAGGAAGTTAGTTTAATGTTGAATGTGTTTTCAATGTGACATCCTGAAATGACAGCATTGTGAAAGTGGGTTCAGGGCATCAGTTGCATACAAATTGATGTGTTTCTTCTAAAATATATTGGTAGTTTATTCTGCTTGCATCATTGTTTTGTGTTAGTCAATAGTTAAAATTAATAATTTAACCATGTATTTCCAGGGGAGCCACAATGAGTTCCTTACCTGAGGCCACACGCTCCCTCATGCAGGTTTTTAATGGAAAACTGCAGGATTTTACCAATGAGATTGATAATGTCCACATGGTTTGGCTGGAGGAAATCCAGCAGGAAGCTTATCGCATGTTTTCTAGGTAAGCACCACTACTAAGCTGTTATTATGAATGTATGAAACTGTATATGATTCTCACTAAAGGGCCATTCAGATATTCCAAATAATGAGATGTCTTTAGAGAAGGAGTGCCCAAACTTTATTATATGAAGAGCCAAAAAACAAATATCATTGATGGCCGAAGATATATATATATATATATATATATATATATATATATATATATATATATGTGTATGTATATATATATATATATATATATATATATATATATATATATATATATATATATATATATATATATATATATATGTATGTATATGTATTTATATATATATATATATATATATGTCGCCTTTACATCTTGTCATATGTTGAACAAGAGTCAAAGGCGAAAATGGGATTTCAAACATCAAATTAATATAAATATATTTTACATTAAAAGTTGCCATTGGTCATTTCTTTATTTCTTTCATAATATAATTTTTTAAAATAAAAAACATTACTTTCAATTATATTAACTAATGCAGTATAACTTTTTCTAACTCTTAAGTTATAATAAGTCTCTGCATTTTCCTCTATGCATCGTATGTACATTTTAAACTAAATTTAATTAATTTACACCATTTAAATTGAAACATTTAATTTCAGATAGCTTTTTGTAACTTAGCAATAAAACAAATAAAAGGTTACGCTCATTTTTTTTTAAACCATTTTTAGATGGGAAGGCACTGGCAGGCCAATTCAAAGGTTACCATGTGCCAACTTTGGCCTGCAGGCCCAAGTTTAAGCATCTCTGATTTAGAGAAACAATAATTTGATGACATTATATTTTGCACAAACATATTCTATCACTTTTTGGACATTTAATTTTATGCAGACACCAACATGTATTTTTGTTACCGGTAATGATATAAGCAATATGATTAAAGCAATGTGTTGTTGTACAGTGATTTCAGTACAGAGCCAGAACTCATGCCTAAGACTCCATCACAGAAAAAGTCAAACCGCAGGAAACGAGTGTCGATGGAGCTCAATGAGTCTCGCAGCAAAAGACGGTGAGTTTTATTTGTTGATGTCCTAATATTTTTGCTTGTATGCATGTGACAAAAACATTCAAAGCTGATTTTATTGTTTGTAATATGTACTTCAGATTTTAAATGCTGTATATTGGGAGTTGTTTGTTTTCTGTGCGGTTAGGACCATAAAAACCATTTGTTTTTGTAGTGAAATGCATATTATTTTTGTTTTAATTCACTGTAAAATAACTTTAAATGTTTGTATTTAATAGTCTGGCCATAAATGTCAAGGTCATACATTTATTTTTCCAAGGATGTTCTCAAATGTGTACTTAGACAAAATTGATAATAATATTTACATTTACATTTAGTCATTTAGCGACGCTTTTATCCAAAGCGACTTACAAATGAGGACAAGGAAGCAATTTACACAACTATAAGAGCAACAATGAATAAGTGCTATAGGCAAGTTTCAGGTCTGTAAAGTCTAAGAAGGAAAGTATTATTATTATTATTTTTATTTATTTATTTATTTTATTTTATTTTGAGTACAGTTAGTGGTATATCCAGAGAGGCAATTGCAGATTAGGAAGTGAAGTGGAGACTAAATAGTTGAGTTTTTAGTCGTTTCTTGAAAACAGCAAGTGACTCTGCCGTTCTGATGCAGTTAGGGAGTTTATTCCAACAACTGGGCAGATTGAATGTGAGCGTTTGGGAAAGTGATTTCTTCCCTCTTTGGGATCGTTGAGGCGACGTTCATTCACAGAACGCAAGTTTCTGGAGGGCACATAAATCTGCAGAAGTGAGAGCAGATAAGAAGGAGCAAAGCCAGAAGTCGCTTTGTAAGCAAACATCAGAGCTTTGAATTTGATGCCAGCAGCAACTGGCAGCCAGTGCAAACGGATGAGCAGCGGAGTGACATGTGCTCTTATAGGTTCATTGAAGAACACTCCTGCTGCTGCATACTGGAGCAGCTGAAGAGGTTTGATAGAGTTAGCTGGAAAAAAAATATTGTTTTGCTTTTATCCTTTTTATTTTTTTTTTTTGCCTTTCAGTTTATCAAAATAATTTTAAATAACACACTTATCGCTTAAATCAGTTTTATTTAATGTTATCTTTTTTTACATCGTCTTTGTTGCTGTAGTTTCTCCAAGGGTAAACGCAGCAACTTGCGTCGCTCTTCAGTCCAGTTGACCCTGAACACCATTTCTGAGCTCGTTACGCCGCACGTCCCGAACGACAGCTCAGAAAGCCTCACCGAGGAACCTGCTCGTCGCACACGCCGCAACAAAACCGCCGCTCCAGCTGAACCTGAACCCATCAAACGCAGCACCCGCAACAAAGCTGCCACCAAAGCCGAGGAAGAAGTAGTGGAGGAAGTTCCAGAAGTGAAACAAGCCTGTGAGGATTCAACATCCAATAAAGATCAGCTCCTGGTGTCTGCTGCTGTTGTGAAGATTCCCTCCTCGGAGCGTCTGAGTGCGGAGTCGCTGCTGAACAGCGGTCAGTCTCCTGGAAGATCTGCTAATAAAATCCCCATCGCTGCGTCTGGGCTGCAGAACACTCCTCAGGGATCTTCTCGGACATCAGCTCGCAGGTCTCTGGTGGTGCGACGCTCGCTTGTCGGACTCAGGCATAGCATGACTCAGGAAGCTGTTCGCAGGGCGTCCCGGCGATCTTTCCTGAAGAAGAAAGCCAGACTGGGAAACTCCACCTGCAGCAGCTCCGTCAGCGGTAAGACTAGCTCCTACATCTATAAATCGCCAGCTCTGTGTGAACCTGGTTATATGATTCAGTTTGGTCAATTGGATTTCGAGGAAATGAGGTTGCTGTTTATACATTGTGTTTTAATATGTAAAGCTGAACCACAAAATATTCATGGGTATAGTTTTGGCAGTAGGCACCAATATGTTGAATTGGTCAAAATATTTGATTTTCCTTTTATGCCAAAAATGATTAGAATATGAATTGAAAATTCTTTCATTTTCTTCCGTAAATATATCAACTTCATTTTTTTTTCAATAAAACATTATTTGCAAAAGTATTTGAAAAACAGAGTCAAATGATCTTTGCTCCAACAGAGCCCCCCACTCCTCAGCACCATTTATAAACAATATGTTATGCCCATTTTTAATCTGTTTTACATTCTGTCGCAATATATACATACATACATACAATACAAATAGACAAAAGTTCCATTATATGTTCACTCATCTATTGTACATATATACGCACACAACAAGTCACAATAGGTTAAACAAATTTAAAATAAAGAAATAAAATAATTTGGATAGAAATTAAAATGTAGTCAAATAAAATGGGGGAAAAATGTGAGAAACAAATAAACAATGGTCAAACTGAAAATATTAAGTTTGGATCCATTTGTTTTATATATGTCAACACTGGCTGCCAAATAAGATGACATTTTTGACTGCAACCTTTGGTGGAGTACCGAATCTTCTCCATTGTAAGATGGTACATAAGGTCCCTAATATAATGATTAAAAGCAATTAATGTTGAAAAAGAAATCATGCTTTTGGTATTATTGTCTAAACCGGAACCGTAATTAAACCAAATATTCCTGTAACAGGGCAAGGGTCAATTGTTTATCAACTTAATTTTTGATTAGTAATTTGCACTGCTAAGGACAACCTTAAAGGCAATTTTCAGTATTTGGATTTTTTTTTTTACCTCCAGTTTCCAGATATTAAAGCTTTATCTCCCCATTATTGTCCTATCCTAACAAAGCCTACATCAATGAAAGTTTGCTTATGGTTGGTTTTGTTTTTCAGTGTCGCTTTTGTCCACTTTCTTGGTTTCTTCAATGAAAGTGGATGTATCTATGGGTTTTTCTGATCGTTTAATTTAACACTGTGATATTGCTTTATTCGTTTGCATGTAAATGTGAACAGAGACAATAGAAACAAAGTAGTCAAACTAATTGCATTTATGTAATGTGGAAAAGCTCAGAACATTGTAGACACTGTCAAAACTCGTGTTTAACCAATTTAGGATTTGATTTAAAAATTAAAACTTATTTTACAACCATTTGTAAATGGGGCATAATTGTAGATGACTGAGTTAAGATCAGTAATACACTTAATAGGATTTGCTGCTTTCTCAGCACCAGGGCTGTACTGATATGCAATTTTTGGCTGATGTCGATAACTTTTTATGTTCAGAAACTGTAACAAGGTTTAGAAAAATGAAGTTCAAGACTGATATTTTTCAGCCTTTATCAAAGACATTTTTATTTTACTCTAACTGCTGAAAACTGCAAGAAAACATCCAGATTTTTCTTCTTTTTTTTTTTTATAAGTTGTGCATCACTACAGTCATGTAGTTGCTTTAAAGTGATTGTGTGTAATTTTTATGCTTTTTCCAGAGGACATTTGTATGGATGTTGAACCTGAACCTGAGGACATGGACAACAGAGAAGAAAAGTGAGTGATCTTTTTATTATTATTACCATTATTATTTCTTCAAATGATAGAAAAATGTATTCTGAAGGTTATTGCACACTTTTGGTCAGTTATTTTCGCATGTTAAAAAACAAATTCTTTCCCAGAGATGGGAAGCGGCTGGAAGGGCATCAGCAAGTTTTTACGCAGCGGGATAAGTTGGTGGTTCATTCCGCTGTGGCGACCCTGGATTAATAAAGGGACTAAGCCGACAAGAAAATGAATGAATGAATGAATGAATAAAAAAAAAATTGACCACAGGTTGTGTGAATCATACTGACACAAAGCCTCTGAAACGGGGTCAGATTTATTTTATTTTTCTCTTCTCGATTTTTGCATTTGAAAAAGCAATTTGAGGGGAGTTTTGAGAGTTGAGAGCCACCGTACAAGCGAAAACGAAATACAGAATACAGAATGTCATTTCAGCTACAGATAACTTTAAAACAAACACAGTGCTTAAAATAAAGACAGAATGTGGCGGACGGCTGAAAAACCTTATATGCTGAATTTAGTGACTGGTACACCTCTCCCCTGCTTGTATGCGTCCGTCCGTCCATACATTTGATGTACTGCCTATAGACATTATAATTAAAAGCATTGTCCGCTTTCGATCTGTTGCTTTGATGCGTCAACGCGGCCTCCATCTATTATAATGTCATATAATATGCCAGTCTTGTTCAGGATTTGTTTACGTATGTGAATGTGTGAAGCATCACAAGCAGTGTATCAAAATTCCACTGATTTCCTGAAATAAACTTTAGGATAATCCAACGTAGCTTTTTTATAATGAGCTGAACTGTTGTCCTTCCTCTCAATTGGATGAACACAATATGCAGCATATTCCTCTTTCTGTTTCTACTTTGGAGAAGAGAGGGGAACGTATCACTGCCTAAACTGTCTCCGAAATACGAACATTTTGGACTTTAGCGTGCAAAAACCTTTAGTCTCAGAAAACTGCAGACTGTGAGTCAAACCTCCAACCTTTGAGTTGTGTGTAATGTTTCTGTGATTTGTTTTAGGGTTGATGCAGAACCAGCCACTGAAACCAGCCCTGAACCAGAGATCATCCAACCTCAGGTAAAAAGAGCTTTTCTGCTGTGCTTTTCTCTTTCCTTCATTTAATAAGACACCAAATAGTCTAATTTAACCACATGCAGTCACATAAGCAGCTATTTTTTTGTATTGTGTAAGTAACCAATGGATCTGTGCTTTCATAGGAACCGGAACCTAAGAAGATGGAAGAAAAGGAAATTGAGCTAACAGAAGAGAAACTGCCAGAAGTGATTATTGAATCTCCCAGCACTACTGAGAACTGTCGTTTAACACGATCCAAGGCTCGCACTTCAGTAACAGGTACACATCTAACAGATCATCTGATGGTGTTTATTGTAGATTATGCAAATTTTTCAGTAAATAATGTTTGATTTATTTATTTTTTGTCCTAACAGATGACAGTGGAGGGTCAAAGTCCATTGGAGATGGCCGGTAAGCAAGGAGTCTATTAGTTTTCTTGTTTATGGTTGTTTGATCTGTGCCATATGTAAGGAATTATTGATGATTGGCTGTTGAACGATCATCAAATATTTGTACTTGTATAGGACCTTTTACCAGATGTCATATTGGACCTACAAGACTAACTCATGTTTTTTTTGCTTAAAACTGAAGACCCCACTCACTGTTTGTTTCTCTCTAAATATTCCCCTTACTGTGAAACATTCTATTGCTCTGTCCCATTTGTAATGATTGCAGAAGGTTTCACCCAAAGAGATATTCAGCAAAGTGTTACCAGCAAAATGTTTAGAATCTCATTTTAACGTTTAAAGTCGAATCTAGTTTTTGTATTCATTTGTTTGCGGTTTTAATTTTATTTCTTTTTAATGAAGTGTTTTTGTCATCAAAATAGTCGTTGCCCACCTAGCAATTTTGTGTTTAGACTTCTAATTGACATCTAATTGTAGATGCCTTTGCTAAGGCAAGGCTAAATTTGGGCTGTCAGATAATAGACATCTTAAGAATAGACCAAAACTAGACTAGTCATCACATGCATATTAGACCGATTTCACATATGCAGTCATTTATGTATTTTTTATGTTTATTTTTTTGATAGCTAGTCTATCGTGTGGGTTTCCTCTGGGTGCTCTGTTTTTTCTCCCACAGTTCAAACACATGCGCTATAGGCGAATTGAATAAACTAAATTGGCCGTTGTGTGTGTGAATGTGAGAGTGTTTGGGTGTTTCCCAGTACTGGATTGTGGCTGGAAGGGCATCTGCTGCGTAAAACATTTGCTGGAATAGTTGGCGCTTCATTCTGCTTTGAAGACCTCTGAAATGTAGACTAAAGGCTTGTACACACCGGTGACGCTTTACCTTTGCGGTTATCGTCAGCGTTTTTTGAGATGTTTTTCCGGATTAAAACCAAAGCCATTTTTCATTTGGCGCCGAGCAGAAGTGTAAGCAAAATTGCTACTTGACATTGAGTGGCGCTACACAACTTTAAGCTTCTATAACAAGCTGTCTGTATAAACAGACACACAGCATCACGCTGTCTCACACACACAAACATAGACGGCACCGAAAAAATAAACACGCGTGCTTGCTCGCTCGGGATTGATATTGTGAGACCGCCCACTCCTCTTCAAATGACATCAGAGTTACCAACTGCTCCCGCACTTTATTCAGGAATTCATTCCCGCACTGAATGAAATCTGGTCGGGTCCCACAACAATGCACAGGTACAGCCGTGGGAATGCAAACCTATATCCAGAAGTACCGCTGTAACAGCCAAGAGGAAAAGAGAAGAGAGGAAAAGTCACGCCAGCAGGTGAAATGGGCCACAGTAAGAGAGAGAGAGAGAGAGAGAGAGAGAAATGCAGTTCACTTTTATTCCCTCAATTGCAGAAAAATAGCGGCTTCTGCTGTAAGTTTCAGTGAAAGCTGTCCAAAATACACACACGGAGTGAAATTGTGCGCATTTTTAAGTAGCTGGCGCCTGAAGTGTTTTAAATACCCGCGCTCGCGACAGAGCGCATATGAGGTAAATGACGCCAGTACATAATAACCGGTTATGATTATTACTGAACCGATACCGTATTGTCCGTGTCTGCATCGCGGAGCACCGAAAAAACAATTCATTTCAGATGAATTAAAAATTCAAACTTCAGTAGCTCCTCGAAAAAAAGTGCCAATCTGATCGGTGGAGACTATTTTGATGCGGCAAGTCAAAACATAAAAAACGAGCATGAGGCGTTTCTTTAAAATGACGCTTTTGCGCGATGATTTGCATGATCACATTGGTGCCCTTTATTAAGTCTCGAAGCGTTAAAAATCGACGGAAAACGTGAACAAAAAGCATCCCGGTGTGCACGAGCCTTTAGTTGAAGAAAAATGAATGAATGACTCTGCTTTTCTTAGATGTCTATTAGATGTTCACTGAGCGCAAATGCAGCCTACATTATGTTTAGGCGTCTAAAAGACTTATTTTAAAAGCCAAAAATGCTTGCTGGGTGTTGACAATGCATTAAATGTAAATAAGAGATAAAAACAGAAAAGATTTTAGAATTTTTATCATTTATTAACACAAAAAAATCTTATTTAATTGATGTTTTATTTTGTTTGTTGATTTTTAAATTGTATATTTATTGTTGAAAGATTCCTGCCATGAAGATAGCCTTGGTTGCTGACATGGCACTAAATAAAAAATGCATTACATTACAGTAAATAAGAGATATGTTATGATTTATATAAAGAATAATGTGCATTATTTTCTAAGTCAACTGTCTTAATTCAATTATTCTATTTATACTACTGTTCCCACAGCTAAAGGCACTGTTCAGATGTTGTATTTCAGCCATTTACAAGGTTTATGTCTTCAACATGCTCCTGTGTGTAGCACTAGTTTCTTCCACATTTCCTACAAAGTCTTCTGTTGTGTTTTGATGTGGTTCAACTGTGAAGTAACTGAAATCATTCAGCGTAGTGACATGGAGATGTAATGTGCGCAAAACATGGCAGAACTACTTTAGCCGTGCGTTTATCTGAAAAAAAAAAAACACACGCCTAAGAACAGGGGTGTCAAACTCGAGGCCTATCGATATTATGTTACCCTCAAGAGTAAATGATTCACACCAAATATGAATTTAAGTATTCATGCAAATGGTACTGAATAAAATGCTTGATGCATTTGCATTTACGAAAAACACCCCATGAGTAATCTAGATAAAGTGGCGCAGTGCTTTTGCTTTGTGACCTCAGCATTATAATAAATCCAAGCTGCTTTGTCGTGTAAACTACATCTCCCATGATGCATGTTTGTTTTGCGGCTCAAAAATGAGCTATTGTTCCAAAGTTCTGCTTTTCCCAAGAAGAGTTAACCTGATTAAAGAATTCATCTTAAAAATAACTTGAAGTTCCGTCTATTTTACGTTTATGCAAATGCGTGTATTTATTTGTTACTTTAATATTTATTAATAAAATAAGGAGATGATTATTAAACGATATGTTAAGAGGCAGTAACATTTCTACAGTAATGCAGTTCTAACCTGGAGCCATAACGTTAAAGTGGCCCTCAGTGAAAATGAGTTTGACACTCCTGCCTCACAATGTTCATCAGCCAATCAGAAACAAGCATTCAACATTGTTTACTTTGTGGGTTTCCATCAGGTCTACACGATCAGGCTCTAAACGTCGTGCTGGTGAATCAGAGATGAGCACGCCAAAGAAAAAGAACACACCTCCGAAGAAGTGCCTCACGGTATGAGCATCTCTGACCACTGTAATGCTGCCCATACACTCATTATCAACCTCTGGCTCTTGTTAAATGGAAACGCTTGCTGCAGAAGCCCGCATTAAGTTTCTCCATGGTTGCTTGCATTCATAAATATATGATTCTGGGGGCAGTTTCAGGCTGTCTGCGGCACCCTAATAAGTATTAAGTTGATTTAGAGAAATTTAAGGCCCCTAAAAAGTATTTGAAAGTCTTAAATGCTATTTTATAAGCGATTAAAGTTTGTATCAGTATCTTGAAGTTTGCCTGAATTTAATCTGCGAATATCAGGATGCTGTGTAGTTTCAGAACTGGATAAAACCCTGCAAGATTTAACATCTCGCTGCTTTGTTTACTGTAGTAACCAAGTAAATGTTTAAAGAAAAATCCTGCTGTTTTAGGCGCCACCTACTGGATTAAGATTTTTATTTCAGTATATGATGATGATGATAATATAAACAATTTTTATTTTTATATATATATATATATATATATATATATATATATATATATATATATATATATATATATATATATATATATATATATATATATATATATATATATATATATAGGATTTGCTATAGCCCCTGGGCCCAATAGCCGCGTTTCCTATATCGCGCCTAAAGCGAGCGAGCCAGGGTGAGCCAAGGTCAGTCGCGTTTCCACAGTCACTTCCAAGGCCTTATCGGGCCAAATCGGGGCTTTCTTGGGGCCAGCAGCCGGCCTTTTTCAGCCCGCCAAATACCTTGGGCCAAGGAGGGCCAGCTGGGGCTTCAGAGCAGTGTGAAAGGAGAGTCGGGCAGTTTTCTGATCGCACATGAGTACATGTGCCAAACAAATAAAGAAATAAGGGAAAGAAAACATCTAGCCTTATAGTCTGGGGTCTTTTTGCGTATGATCACTCTAATGTTTCCCTTTTAAATGTAAGGCTGCTGCATAAAATAATAAAGTAGTTTTATTTTATAATGACATTCTTTGCTGCGTCTTCCTTGATGTTTCAATAAAGCATAATAATCTTTACACCATATTAAAGACACAGCAGACAGTAAAGGTTTCCGAGAGTTTGTCAAGTTTTAAAGGTGTGTTTGTG